AATATATATATATATATATAGGAGAGATCTCTTCATTCCAAGATTAAGTCTATCTAATTTATTTCATTCAATAATTTATATTTTACATCAAATTTTAAAGATTCAATCATTGAATTTAAAGTTCTTAATGGATATATCAAATCAATAAATTTTTAAAAAAATTTGAAAATTATTTAATATTTTATTTTATTGATTCAAATTTATGAATAATCATAAAATTATTTTATACGTTAATTTAAATTAATAGAACGAAGTATTAAATGGTTTTTAAATTATTTAAAAATTTACAAACTTGATTTATATATATTAAGAGCTTTAAATTCAACGATTTGATCGTTGAAATTTGATGTAAAATATGAGTTATTGAATAAAATAAATTTACCTAGACTTACTCTTGAAGTAAACAGATCCCTCCTTTATATTATATATATAGGGATGAAAGCAGGTTGGTTGAAGTGGGGGCCAATGCTCCACTAAGTTTTTTATGTCAATTATTTTCTTAATATATATTATAATAAAACATATTATTTATCATGTTGAAAATTAAACATTCTATTATCTTTTGTGTTTTATGTTGTAAAAAAAAGTTAAAATCAATATATTATTTTGAAGTATATTTTTCTTTAAAAAAAAAAATACATTTGAGTGTAGCTTGCTAGTTTACACCTACCACAATATTTTTCTATGGCTGGACCCATCAGTAATTAATCCATTTATGTTAACTTGCACGGTTTAGTGTCAGGAGATTGTATTCTAATCACTATATTGTAGTTGTGTTTGTTGCAAAATACAAAAAGGCTTTTAGAAGATTACAAATATTTTACAAGTAAACAAACACACGCACAAGCATTCCTTAGAATAGCTAGACTTTTGAACAACACAAAAGTCTGGAAGCCAGGCCTAGTATCATAAGAAGAAACAGTATGAGAATGATAACGGTAAAATAAAAGCACAACTAGAATATAGTTCTTGGTAACTCTGCAGAATGCAGAGTGGGAGCTATTGAAATTTTGTGTGCAGACCTTGTCTAAAATATAAAAATGCAGGAGAAAATGGTTTAATGGACTTTTAGCTTAGGTGGCATGTTTGTCTAAAAACACTTAAAAAATTATGGCCATCTAATTTACTCTTTTATTTGTTTTAATTCAACAAAGTGATACATTTCAACAACCTTACTAATATTACCACGTGCTTAGTGTTTTATGTTTGGAAATTAATTCATGCTACAGAAGTTTCGTTAATTAATTCCAACAACATTAGGGTGCAAGAGACTGGGAACATACATGATATCACGATTAAGCCATCCTCCATATTCATCTTCAAGTGCCTGTGGAAGATCACTGTTGTGTAGCGTGGCAAGTGGTTGGATTCCTGCTCCAGGGAAAAAGGGAACTAAAGGTTTTAAAATTATTAATTCATTTACTTATTTGAAGTGAATATAAGGCTATGACATGGTTAATTCTGCAAACAAAGAAACTAGTTTTGAGGTGTTTAACCATTGCTGATGAGTTCATTGATGAGGTTGTTGTAGTACTGTAATCCTTTGGGATTGACGGGTCCTCTGCCATCTGAGGAGAAATAAAAGCATTTTCAAGTTTTGTGAAAGTTTTTTACCTTACAAATTCAAGGGTTTGTGTTGAGTATCATACTTGGTAACAGTCTGGACAATGAAATAGAAAATCTATAGGCATCAAGGCCTGTTTCCACCATGAGCCGCACATCTTCCTGCATCAGCCTCAATTTTCTTTTATTTTCCACAAAATGGTGAAACACATGGAATGCATTACCAAATTGAGGCATAGTGTATTCACCTTATATTTGTGGTACCCATCACAGGCTACATCTCCATACCCTGGTTACCAAAAAATCAAGTCTCAATCACACTACATGTAACAAGCTAAGGAGCAATTTGTTGCGATGAATTAATCATGCATAAAAAATTATGAAAAAGTATAAATAGTAAGATGGATAAGAAGAAGAAATACCGGAGCCAGCGTGAGCAAAGCTATCCCAGATGCTAGGAGTTCTTCCATCTTCATTAGCAGCTCCTTCAACCTGTTCATAATATTAAGATGATTACTTGTGTTGGGGGTATATAGAATTATTGAAGAAACTAGAAAGAGGAACAAAAAGCAAAATCAACAGGGAAGTCATCTCTCTGATAATTATCAGCACTCAGCACTCAGCACTCAGCACTCCTACGACAAAGTTCACGAGTAACAAAATCAGCGTCGAAGTATGGTTCAGAGATGTTTCTCTTTCCATCATCTATGTTTTTGTTTCCAGGTCCTTCTCAAATCAGACAACCTGCGTCCATCAAAATGTTATTATTGTGAAATGACATTTACAATTGTATTTTGTTGAAAAAAGTACTTATTTTTTTTTTAAATTTTAATGTTTTCGATGTTTAAATTAGTTGTTATATCTATAAAAGAAATTTCTATGACAAGTATTTAGAGTATATGAGTGTAAAATAAAGGTGATAAAACCTATTAATATCAAACATTATTACTATGAAATAATATTTGTAATTGTATTTGTTAGGAAAAGTACTAGTCCTTCTAAAGTCCTTAGAAGTCTTTAATCTGATTATTATACTTATAAAAGAGATTTTGATGTCTAAATTAGCGAGTGTTTGGAATATATGAGTATAATCTCAAGAATGAATATGTCTTATGAAGGTGAAATACAAGATTATAAATAGGTGAAAAATATTACCGTTAGTTGAGGAAATATTAAAGAGCATTCAAGACTTTTTATTATCATGTAATAGTCAGACATTACTTTCTATTAGACTTAATTATTGGAGTCTGGGCAAGTTGAGATGTAGTCAATTTAAGACTAACTTTTACTCGATCTACCAATTAGTGTTCAGACATACACCTTACAAACTATTATTAGGTATTCGAGTTCTTAGTGGGAGTCAAGATATCTTCGATGAGGTGGCCAAGAACTATTCAGGACAATAATAAATAAAATAATATTTCATCCCTTAAAAAAAATCAAATTGTTTTTTTTTTTGTATAATACTAATCGATAGGGTCTCACTGTTAAATGTTACAAGATCTCGTACATTTGAACCCATTGTTATAGACTCGAACCCATTAGTATGGAACATTTTCTTTTCCAAGTGAAATCTCCTAGTATATGAAAGGGTGAAAAAGTGCTTTCATTGTTGTGGAATAAGAAGTCTTCGTATCTTAATGCATGTATTTAATTTATTCGGAGCTATTAGAGCTGGATCTACTTTTTGGGGAATATGAGTCGAAGCAATAACAAGAATATTTCTAGTGGAACATCTTTCACAATCCCTTGAGAGATAGTTCACTAAAAGACTGAGGGATAAGTAAATCAACTCATTCACATCTAAATCATGAATGTTTGGAATCCATATTATGCAAGGAGACATTGCTTTTGCTAATTCGAATTGAAAGGTGATATAAAATCGGTCTATTTCCGACATTATATCCATAGTTAACGTATTCATCATAGTTAGAAGCTCCAGCTCCATATCAAGGTCACGGTCGATATCGTCACTATCATCAATATCGTCACTATCGTCACTATCATCACTATCATCAATAAGAAAACCCTTAGGCTTGTTATCCAGGAACTTGTTCAGAAAAATTGTAATGAAAGGAACATAGGAGTTTGTCGCTAGGTATTTGACCAAATAGGATCGTCCAGTTCCTATAGAACCTATCACTAAAATACCCCTAGGGGGGGGTAGGGATAAGCGGAGCGAAAAGGGTTTTACATGAGATGGGAAATGAAAACTGTTAGCCCCCCACAGGGTTTGTGAATAAGTAATTGTCTGATAATTAGCAAGGAATATCCGTCTTTCTGCTAAACAGGATGTATTTAACTCATAAATCATTCAATATTTATGTAAATATTACATATATTATTTTGTGATATTAATTGCAAGCATAATATATATGTACATATTATTTATATTTTTAATTTGTATTAATATACCGTTTAACATATAATTTTTTATGTATTTTTTTATAAAATAAAAATAAAAATAATTTTAAATAAGATAGAAAAATTAAAATTTAAAATAAGATATGAATTTATTAAAATTTATAAGTATAAAATATATTTAATATGAATATTTTTTTAATAAAAATAAATAAAAACCGAGTCATGCGGTTCAACTAGTGACCCACCGGTTCAACCTTTGACTCACTGACCCAGTACCTTAACCGGTTCGATGACCGGTCCGGTTTTTAAAACTATGGTTAGAAGCTCCAACTCCATATCAAGGTCACAGTCGTTTAATAGTGTGTTTGGATTGAGAATTTAAATGGAGTAATTCATTTATTTGAATAATTTCAAATTTTTTGAGGTAAAATACCTTGTTTGGATGGAGAATTTATAAGAAATTTGAAATTCAAGCATTTGTGAAATCCTTTAAAATAGTAGAATTTCAAATTCTCCCAAAATAGTATGAATTTGAAATTTCTCATATTTTTTTCTTCTTATTTCACTTATATATTTTATCTTATCTCTTATCTCTTCATGTTTTTAATTACTGAATATTCAAAAATATATTTAAAATTATTAAATATTATCTAACATTAATTTTTAAAATTATTAAATATTTAAAAATTAGCTAATATTTATTTTTATAAAATTTAATTTAAAAATTTTAGTATATAAATATATTTTTAAAATTAACTTTACCATGGTAGAATCAAATTATCATATTCAACCTAACAATTTAAAATTTTAGAAATTTGAATTGACTTATTCAAACAAAATATTTTAAGAATGATAGAAATTAAAATCAAAGTAATTCAAACACAACATAAATGTAATGATGAAATTGAAATATTTTGGTGTGATAAAAAATGATTGATACACTTAAATGTTTAAGCTAAACCACAATAATAACCGTTTAAGAGGAAATGAAATTTTTTAACTTAATTTAATCACCCTTTATTTAAATCAAGCAAGCTAATTAAGCATGTATTAAGTATTTAAAGGTTCAATTCATTAAAGAAGTTATTCAAAATATAATTATTACTTTATAAATATATTTTAATACATTTCAACATGATTTTTTTTAAAAAAAAAATATTACTTATAAAAAATATTTTTTTATCATTAAAAATAATAGATATAGTGGATGAAACCAATAAAACTATCAAATTAAAAGTTAATGACATGTTAGAAATTTTTAGATAAAATACTATTATTCACTTAATAGTTGAAGATACATAAAATCCATACAACACACATACATCCTTATTTTAGTTTTTTGTATAATTTGTATCAAATAATTTTAGTTTTTTTGTATAATTTGTATCAAATAAATATTTTTTTAAAAGGAATGATAACTCTTACATTTGGAATAATGTTATGGGGGTGGGGAAAAAATTGAGCCCCCCAAGACCCATGTTACCCGATAAAATAAAATATTATTGTTAATATTTAAAAGTGTAAAATAAGTTTTCTTCAATTTCGTAATTGTATTTCGACTAAAATAGAATTCTAATTAGTTTTGTGAGACTAGAGTTATTTTGGGAATTTTTGTGCTCTAGTTTCAAAAGAATGCTAAAAATCATATTTGAGTAAACCGATAATGTAAAGTCAATAGTGTATGTAAAAACTATCAACCTCCTTGTAGATCTTTAAACATAAATTTATGATTAATTCATAAATAAAGATTGATAGTGTAACTATACGAAGGTATATCGGTAATTTTATCGTTTAGATCTTTCCTTTAAGTCTTCATCTGGGTGCTTATTACCTCTTATATGTAATAAACCTGAAAGTGTTTGGTTATACCTGTCCGAAAGGATAAAAGAAGGGTTACTTACAAAAGACACTCTAACGTTCGAGTTAGTCTTCGACTCTAAACAAGTAAATGTCAATTAATATTGTAATAAATGCAAAAAGTACTTTTCTCTCTAACATCATTATTTATTCTAACCTTATTAGATCTATGCGCATAGGATAGGTCCATTAAGGATTGTGACATCTCAAGTAACCATTTAGATTTTACTATTATCAGAACATATTGAAGAGTCTTCGACTTTTTCCTCTTGCCATATCCTTCCGGTACAAATAGAGATCCGAACTTGATAAAACCAAAGATAATAGACAAGAGAGAGGATGGAGAATGATTGTCGGAGTTAAAAAAAATTAGTTTCATCTTAGCCCTTGAATGTTTTGTTTTATTTCATGTTGATGTAGCACAAGAATATAACTTAATAACTCATAAAATTATTGCAATTAATAATTTGTTATTATTGAATTTTAGGATTTAATCATTAAAATAAGTTTTTAATGAATATTCTAAATATATAAATTTTTGCAAAGTTTAAAAATTATATAATATTTTATTATATAGATTTAAATTAATGTCAAAAATATTTCATTGGACCTATACATAAGCAAAAATAATTAGTGAGTCGAAATTTAATGTAAAACATGACTTATTGAGTGATTGAATAACTCATGGTATAGATTGAATTTCAATGATCTCAATATTAAATTAGAATTTCTTAATGTATTGATCAAATATACAAATATTTAGAAAATTTGAAAATTATATGATATTTCATTATATAGATTTAAATTAATATATTAAATATTTTTATGAATATGCATTAATTTAAATTAATGAAACAACATATAAAATAATTTTAAATATTTTTTAAAAAATATGTAAACTTGATCTTAAATATTAAGAATTTTTAATGAAGTTTAAATCGTTAAAATTCAATGTAGACCGTAAGTTGTTAAATAGAATAAATTTATCAAAACTTACTCTTATGATAAGTGTATCTCTCATCATATATGTATATGTGTAAGTGTGATTTTGGTCCTTAAAAGTTCATAAAAATTCAATTTGTCTCTACTAACATAAACATACATCACATGGCAAACTAGTGAGGACATGATATGACACTTACCATGTCATCTATATTTGTTAACTATATTACTAATGTCTTATAACAATTGGACTAACCTAATAGTCAAAATTCAAACATAGAGACTAATTTACAATTTTAATTCTTTCATGAATTAACTTGTCAATATTTTACACTTATAGGAATTAAAATGATGATTAAAAATAATCTAATAAAGAAGAGTTGTTAGTTCTACAATATATAAATATATATATAAATTGAGTTAAGTTGACCCACAAAAATTTATAATAAATTAAAATAATGAAAAAATAGGTTAAAAAATAACTCATAAGTTAATTCACTAAATAAATAAAAATATAGAAATAAAAAATTACTATTATACAAGCCAATCATAAAGCGAGAACACAAACAAATCATAATAATTGTAGTATTTGTTTTGGTAGAATAAGGAATTACAAAATGAAGGAAATCAAAACATAAAGAATAACAGCTAGCCTGGGGCTAATAAATCATGCAAGAAGGTCTCCATAACAAATGGCAGTGGCACAATAAATTCACATGTTACATTGTGACTTCCAAAAGTTGTCAAGCGGTCTGCAACAGTGTTGGCTTCACGAGGAATACATAAAAGTCGAGTTTGCCACGTACTGGAAAGAAGACAAATATCTATCAAGAGATCTCGCACATAGGGGGAAGTTATGGAGGCCAAAGTAGAATGAGTGATTGCTTCCACAGATTCTAGACAGTCAGTTTCACACACCACTTTGCAGTAACCCAGGTTCCAATCTAATTCAATATCATGCTTAATGGCCAAGAGTTCAGCCATGTATGCATTACCTTGACAAAAAGCCTTGGAAAAGCCACGCAACCACTCCCCATGGGTACCACGAATAACTCCTCCTCCACTCATTGAATGGGGCGGAATACATGAACCATCCACGTTAACTTTGACGACATCTACAATTGGAGGACTCCAAGAAGGTGTAGGCAGAGGTGGATCATTTCTGCAATATAGTCGTAACTCCATGCTGGTTTGATGAACTAAGTGAAGGACATACTAAAAAGGCCAAGTTTCATGTGCTAACATTGTGTTGTTTCGCCATCTCCATAAACACCAAAGAGTTGAAAACTTGAAATAATTAGTAGTTTGTCCTTATGTTGAAGGATATGTTGCATCCAACGCACTATTTGCGTAAAAGACATCAACATTGGAGTGTCAATGCCAATACGAGTCCAAACAGCCTTAGCATGGATGCAATCACAGAGTGCATGAAGTATAGATTCTTCCCCTGCAGCACAACGTGTACAAATAGAGTTGGTGGCTAAATGACTAGCCATTTGTTTACTGTTGGTGGGTAACGCTTCCTTAGAACCCTGCCATAGGAAGAAACGTATTTTCTCTGGTACGGGGAGCTTCCAAAGCCTCTTCCACATATGACTAAACCCCTCCAAAGGACCAAGACACCACCTGTAGCCTGAAGCTGCGGTATATATACCATTATTACTACCGTACCATGAAATGGTGTATGCCCCCTAGTGGATGAGCAAGAATGGAAATAGTAGTTAGTTGGGCGCATAAAGGCACCGGTAAAGGGGTGTAGAGCATAAATAGATTCCCCATGTTGTCCAACCATAAGTCTGAAACTTTTAGATGTGAATCGTGAATGTCAACATAAGGTACTACATGACAAAGTGACCTTGTGCCCGTCCAATTATTGTACCAAAAACTGGAATTTCCATCTCCTAGACATGGTCCATAACTTGAACGAAGTACACTCAAAGCTTGATGAATGCTTCGCCATACCTGGGAAGCTCCTGGAGGCACGACATGATTCAACAATGGGGAAGAATGTAGATATTTATGGGTCAAAAGAGATACCCAAGGTTTTTCAAGATGATGCATGAGGTCCCAAATAAGCTTTCCTAGCAGAGAAGTGTTAGCAGAACAGGTATCACACATGGCAAGACCACCATAGTGTTTGGGTTTGATCACGTCCTTCCAACTCACCAAGTTCCACTGTCGCGTCCGTGTGCCGTGTGACCACAACATTGATCTACAAAGGTGATCAATGGTTGTACAAACAGATTGGGGAAGCCAATAGAGTTGCATTATGTATGCAAGTATGGAAGCAAGAACTGGTCGGGTTAAGCAGAGGAGACCAACTTTGTTAAGAAGCTTATTCTTCCAAGAGGCTAGTCTACTATGGACTTTAGTAATGAGGTGGTTGAAGACATCTTTAGGAACTCTGCCAGAGTGCAAGTGGTACCCCAAGTAAGAGCCTAAGGTTTGAGTGTGACAGATGCCCAAGACAGATTAAAGCTCATCCTTGAGAGGTCCATTTACACCTTTCGAACACACAAACCTAGACTTTTCCAGGCTAACTTTTAGCCTAGAAGCGGCATAGAAGGCATCAAGGGTAGAAGAAATCACTTGCATTTGTTGCTTGGAAGCTTGACAAAATAGAAGAATATCACCAATAAAAAAATGGGAAAGAAAGGGACCTCCATTTGAGATCGTGATTGGAATCCAATTACCGTCCCAAATTTGCTGATGAATAAGCAGACCCAACTTCGACATACAAAGAAGGAATAGATAAGGAGATAGGGGTTCATCTTGGCACAAGCCTCGAGAAGGAGTGAAGGGGTCCAGTTTTGAACCATTCCATAGTATAGACAAAGAGGTCTCGCAACCAATAGATGTTTTATGGACAGATTATTCACAAAAATGATATCAACCAATAGATTTGAAAAAGAAAAGACAAAAAAAAGAAGAAAGTGGAATAGAAAAAACAGAACAATATGCGATATTTGCATTTTGCTTTTGTGCTTCCCTATCACAACTCAAAACTATACTCTTATTTGAAATTTCCCATTTCTTTAACAACATAACATACCACGTGGAATGTTACAGTCAATTGTGTTTTATACAATACCTACGCGACTTTACCCGCAAGCTCTTTCTTTTCTCATATATCCGAGTGGAAATTTACACATGTAGCTAGGCTTTCTCCAAATAAATTCTTATTTCATTTATGTACATAAAGGAAAATATGCATAGCTAATAATCGGTTAGGGGTCTTGAAAATTTGTTAAGTTGAAATAATAAAATATTTTATAATATTTTTTATTAAAAATATAATAATTTTTAAAAAAAATAAGTATATTTTTGTTGATAAAAAATTTAATATACCTGCTTTTTTATAAATTAAAATTTTCTTATAAATAGAGTGACAATTTCTCTTTTTTCTGTCTAATATTATATTTAAGTGTGATTTTGAAATTTTTTGTGACTTATATAATATTAAATGAACAATATAAATTATTAAGATAAAGATAATATAATTAATATTTATTTTCTCTTGTATCTCTTCTAAATTTTTATAATCATTTAAAACAAAAATATTTTATGAAAATGACGATTATTTTTTTTTATAAGAGTAAAAAAAAATATTAAATATGTTTAAGTAAAAAAGAATAAAAACTTTTTGTGACAATTACACTCGTTCCTCTTAATTTGGACCCATCCCTACCAACACATAATGTACATAATAAGATTAAAAGGGTTAAAAATTAAAATTAAAATTTAAAAAAAATATATTTGTAAACTAAATTATGACATCTTTAATGAATAAAAAAATAATAAATCTTTCAATCAAAAAATAAAATACATTATAATAATAAAAAATTAAGAGAATTTTGTTATAAAATGAAAAAAAATTACATAATAGAAAAAAATATATAAATAAAATATTAATATATTTTAACATATTAGATATAAAAAATTATTATTATAAAAATGTTATACATAGTCACATATAAAAAGTATTGTTATAGTTTATATTTTTATTTTCTAACAATATATCAACCGTCCCATAGCCATAGGTCCGTCTTTGCTAATAACACCACTAAATAATGATCTTGTGAAAACAAAATTAAAGAACCTAACCAAATAAGTGGCCAACAGAAACAAGGGATGGATCCTTCTCAAGTTCAATAACTTCAACTATAGAGGCATTTTTTCCTTTCAAAAACTGGCTGTACCATTTTGCAGAAAGCTTTGGGTATCTCTTCAACTCTGGATCATTTCTATCAACGTAGTATAGGCCATAGCTCGACTTGTATTGATCCAGCAACTCAAACAAATCCAGGAAAGACCATGCAAAATACCCCTTTATATTTGATCCATCTCTGAGAAAATTTGGGGTGATATATTAACAATATAGTTCAATGGATTAGGATTAAAACAGAATTTTGTGATACGTATGAACTAGATGAATTAGTGCAGTGAATGCATACCTCAAGGCATCAAGAACGCCCCCAATATATCCATGCAAGTATTTCACCCTTGACACGTCTTGCAGTGACGAATTGCTTGGTGTCCGTTGTCCTAAAAAATCAGAATTTGTTCGGTCAATAACAACCTATTTAAACTCACCATGTTCCACACAAGCACCCTATATATCGTCAACAGGATTTCCAAGTTTACCATTGATACATGTACTGTAAATGGTTGAGTTCAAAATTCCAAACAACTTAGGATGGCAATACATTGGAAAATACTGGTTAATCTCCATGTGCCATCAACTAATGATAATATGACATTGTCAGTTACAAGTATATATTAACAAAATGGGAAAACGGATAAGCAAGTAACATGATTGAAACGTTAAATGTCTAATGCTACCAAGTTGGTTTGTCTATTACAACAAAACTTTGATCTCATTTTAATATTTAACTCTCATAACAAGGAGAGATGATTTTACTAAAAATTATTCACAGCAATCAAATATAATCTTCAGAGAAAGAGAGGGAGAGAGACCATTTTCATGGATGAATATAGGAGGATTGCCATAAAGAAGCTTGAAATTATTCAACTCTTGTCGCAAACCCCACGGTGTGACAGCGTACTGGATCAAGTAAAGCCGGTTAGTCATCATACAGCGAAGTAATCTAAAAAAATTGAACCAATCTATTATGAGACACGTGATTTTTTTAATTTTATAGTTACCTCTTTATTTGTAAACAGATCCCCCTCTCCTACTGCAAAACGAGGAAAGCAATGAGTCTTTACAATACTAAAAAATGAGTGAATCACCCTGTTGAGTTCATGATCGAAAATGATAATTTAAATCATTCTACAACATTGTCTAAATAATTCTCCCAAGCCCAATCACTAAACAAAGAATGCATCGGATTTCTTTTCATTTTTTAAGAAATTAAACAAATTTAACTTTTTTACTTGAAATTTTCTTTATAAAGTATCAAGAGATTATTAGGTTATTGTAGAGGGATATTACATTACTGTAAAAAGAGTGAGATGGTATGTGAAAGTTCAACAAGTTCGAATTTCATGATGATCATTAAAAGATTCCAGTGAATTCAATTTCCACAGTAAACTTGCATGACCAACTTTAATCTTTTACTAAATTCGCTATCCTTAAACTTAACGTACTTACATATCTTTGCAGCCATGTCTGCACTGTAATCTCTCAGTTGGTTCTCAAGAGCATCAGAGTTGTCTGTGACATTAGAATTCGTGTAGTGAATTACGCCTATGAAGTCATATGAACCCTTAACTTGTTCGGATTCGCGAATTGTGAAAGTTGGAATTCTTTCACCTGCATTTGTCTTCATGGAAATGGGATAGTCTCCATACAGCAAGGGTTCTATAATCCTGCAGTATTAAGCAGTCTCATTATACTATCGGTCTTCAGCATATGTAATTATGTATTGGTATGTCCAATGAAAGAAAGAAAGCTTTAGTGCCTTTAAGGAATAGAGATAAAGTTAAATTAAAATTTGAAAACTATTTAATACTTTATTATATAGATTCTTTTTATACCTTTGATTTAAATATACGAAATATCAAATAATTTTTAAAATTTTATAAATTTAATCTATATATTAAGAATTTTAAATTTAACTATGAGTTAATCATCTATACACTGTCTAAAATTTTTTACACTGGCAACCAATCATATCTTTAAATTATTTTATTTTATTTTTATTTCATTAAATAAGCAACTGACATGGCACTATTAAGAGATATGATTGGTTGCCAGTGTAAAAAGATTTTACACCGGCAGTGTATAGGTGATTAACTCTTTAACTATTAGATCGATAAAATTTGATGTAAAACATGAATTATTATAGGAAATAAATCTGCCAAGACTTACTCTTAGAATAAAATGACCCCTTTATATATAT